AATCTTTCTAGTACCTGCTTCCAAGAATCCAGACTCACCTCTACATTTAATATGAGGCTTAAGGCAAGACGGACAATTACCAGGTAGTGAATTTTTTTTCTAGCTACAACAACTCAAGAAAACAAATAGGGCACCAAGGAGTTGCAATGTCCGGGGAGTACTCACCCCAACAAAATCATGAATCATTGACACAGGAAAGGACAACACTATTATGTTTGTTTGAAAGAGCAAGCCAAATCCAAGATTGCAAAAGAAATTGCACAGACAGATGGAGAAAAGCAACAAAGGGAGGAGAGAAAGGACACTTTACTCTCTACTAAAAATCTACGCTGATGCTTTCTTGTGGCACGCAGGTGACTCTCCTTTCTCAAAGACTATAGACGAGTACAAGCTTTGGCAGGTTCTAACAAGCTGGAAAGGAGTCAAGGACAAGCTGATGACAGACTCCAAGAACTGGCCTAGCTAAGTCTAGAGACGCAAAAATCACTGCAAGTCTGGATCCTTACCAGGCCATAAATCCTTTCCAGCTATAGCAACTCACGAAGACCTACTAAGGTTGCAGTTTGCATTGGTGCAATGAATGAGCCACACTTGGAGACCCCTGAGATCCTGGAGTAACTTGAGGATCAGAGGACTACAGACCTAGACCAGAGGACATGGAAGTTAACAAGGGCAACTCTCTCATTTTATAGATGGGAAAAATGAGGCTCAGGGAAGTTAGGTGACTTGTCCAAGGTTACACAAGATTCAAGGACTCTATTTCAGCTTTAAGGTAAAATGATGGAAAATGAATTAATCTAAAATTCTCTTTGCTGGTTATTTGAGCACTATCAACTAAGAAAAAAAGACTACGACATCAATTCGGAATAATTTGTGTAACTATAGACATGGTCATTGTTGAAATTCCACTTAATATTTTGACAATGAGTGTGTCTACTTTACACAAATAAAGATGACAAATGTCAAGATTATTTAAGCATTTGGGCAGCTAGGTGGTGAAGCCGATAGAGAACCGGGCCTGGAGTCAGGAAGACCTGAGTTCAAATCCAGGCTCAGACACTTACTAGCTGTGTGACCCTGTGAAAAGTCACTTAACCTTTTTTGCCTCAGTTTCCTCATCTGTAAAATGAGCTGGAGAAGGAAATGCAAACCAGTCCAGTATCTTTGCCATGAAAACCCCAAAAGGGTCATGAAGAGTCAGACGCAATTGAACAACAATAACAAATTTAGGCATTTATTACTCTACAGTTTCAAAATATGAAATTCAAAAGTTCAAAGCAGCAGTCAAGATATGCAAAAAATCCATATTTCTTAGTTAACACAGGTCTCCTATTAATCTACATCTGAACTCAAAACAGCTTTTCTAAGCTTGGTCAGAAGGCAAATTTGTACAAATTATCTCTGGCAAATTAAATGTGTTTATAGGCTTAAATGTGGTGTATGTAATTGTTCAAATGGAATTAGATCTGGAATCTTTTGCCCCGTTTTGCTTTGGTAGTTTTGCCCACACAGCCAATGCTGAGGGGAGGGTGGGACTAGGGAGAGGTAGAAGGTATGCAAGTTAGGAGAGGAGAAGGAAATCAGTTAACTTCCCTGTCTCAATTTTTCTAACTACATTTATTTATTTATTTGTTTGTTTATTTATATATGTATTTGGGGGGGGTGTTGGTGAGGTAATCATGGTTAAGTGACTTGTCCAGGGTCACACCTCTAGTAAGCATCTGAGGCCCTAACTACCTTTATTGACATAAGGCTAAGAAACAATTCATTATTGCTTCTAAATCACAGTATGAAAAACTGCTAATTAGTGTGGTTCTCCTTTAATATGTTTTTTAGGCACAAATGATACTATTCTTAATAAAACTATTTTACAAGTATTTTATTGTAAATAATTAACCCTTCCCCCTCCCCAAGTCTAAAGTACAACTCCATTTCCATATTTAATATTTTTGATCTACTACCAACCAAACTGTTTATTAATCAAGCATAATAGGCTCTTATTATAGCTCTTATATGTAGTTCCATATATATGGAATATCGGAATGGTTCTTTTTTCTTATATATTTTCATATATTAAGAGAAAATAAAAACTCTCAAAAGCACATGAAATAGATATAAGAAAATTTAATGCCTTCCAAAAACACAAATGTAGAAAATCTGGAAACAAAAATTCTTTAATATATATATATGTATATATATATATATATATATACACACACACATATATTCATACAAGATATATGCAATAGGCTGTCTAAACAAGAAATAGATAGTTTCAAACCTTTTCATATTTGATAGCATCAAACAAAACAGGCTGATTTGGCACTCAAATGCTGTATAAATTTTTCATTTCAGGTTTAAGGTAAGGCATCGCTCTTGCTAACTTTCATATAAGTTGTGCCAACTCAATTTACTTCTTGGGTTACATGTTTTATTTGTACCCTAGTTTTTCAAGTATGTTTATTTTTTACTTCAATACACATAATGAAAGGATTAGCATCCTTTAAGAGAGCCACATAAAACCAAATGAGCTTTTTGTAGTCATATACATAATACTTAAGAAATTTAAAAGCCAAGTTTAATCAGGAGCATTAGCTTGGGATGACTACAGTAGAAAATCAATATATAAAATAAAATCAAACTTAAAATAGAGATGGACCAACCAGAATTATTTAAAGTTGACCTTTTGTTCACAAGACAAAGTTCTCTCAATTTCAAGGCCCAAGACACCTTAACTTACTATATAAGAGCATCCTATCCACTCTATCTGAGGCTAGTTTCCACAAAACAAATCTAGTTTCAAATCCAAAACAGTGACTTTTCTTGGGCATTAATTTGAAGGGCTACTCCTGTTTTATCTGTTGGCTTTAAAAGAGTGAAAGATTTTCAAATAAATAAAACCTAACAAGCCTCCCTTTCCATCTACCAACTGCCAAATCAAATGACAGCTTACAACATTTACAGTATTAGCAGTGATAGGACTTTTAAAATGCATATTAGCGTCATCCTGACAAAGTCACAGGATTAATGCTATGGATTTTCAATGAAGGGCCATCTGTCCAATCAGTTTCCTTTTGCTTAAACAGTAAATGAATGACTATTTTGAAAAATGAAAGAGGAACATTAGAGCATTCCCTAAATATCTCCTAATAACCCTTAAGACCTAGATTTTCTGTTATAGGACATAGCATAAAGAAGGGGTGACAAATAAATGAAAACAGGAAAACCTCAATGGTGCTGCATGGAATTAAACCTGATCATTTGGACAAGGAATAGAAAATAATGCCATGGTCATGGGAAGGATGGATTAATTTTGATGGTGAATTTAGAAATGGTGGTCAAAGTTTAAAAGACTAAAGGTTTTCAAAACACTGTCCTACGCAGATACATATTTGAGGGAAACCTGAGTATAAAGAATATACCAGAAAGACCACTTAAATTTACTGATGGAGTAGCAATATTACCTGAAGAACAATATGCTACGAGCAAAGAAAAAAATGTTACAAGATAAAAATCAAGTAGCTGCCAGGTTATGGTAATAAATAAAGTATTGGGGAGGTGGAGGGGGGATGAAAGAAAAGATGAGAGAGGGAAAAAGAGAATACTTACATGGGTTCATAGAAACTATGATATAAAAAAATGAAATAGCAAATTTCTTTTCTTTTCTTTTTCCTTTTTCTTGTTAGGCAATGGGGTTAAGTGACTTGCCTAGGGTCACACAGCTAGTAAGTGTTATGTGTCTGAGGCTGGATTTGAACTCAGGTCCTCCTGAATCCAGGGCCGGTGCTCTATCCACTGAGCAACCTAGCTGCCCCGAAATAGTAAATTTCCTTACTTTACAACCAGGTCAAAATTAGTTGAAACTTCTTTACAGGGTAACTATGCTTTATTAAATCCTTAAAGTAAGAACTTACACATCAAATTTCCAAATAATGACTAGTGCTTATTGGCTGAATCCTTTAACCATCTGCAGACAACATGTGCATACCTCCTTTGCCTTTTTCCTCAGCCAAATATTCACAAAGGACAGGACATAAAAGCAACTCTGGCCTCTTACAACCAAAGACCAAAATGTGAACCTAGGTTTCTTACCAGTCTGTCATAAGCTTGCCTATAATGGGTTACTTCACAACCATAACTCCATTAACAAACATGGTTTTAAGGGCATACAATCATCCACTGCATGTGGCCCAAAAACCTAGTCAAAGACATCATTATTACTAAATAATCCAAGAAATTAAATTTTATTTTGTGCTGAAACTGAAAAAGCTATGATAAAGCTTTCTAAATTTCTGTTTGTACCAAGATGATTACTTGATTCCTTATGGCCAGACCATATGTTCTTATGACCAAGGTTCTGTCTCATTGTGTACACTAATAAATAAATGTGGACTATTCCCCTACTACTACCCCCCCCCCCCAGTTTCTGCCAACCATTCTCAGCAGTTTGTTCAGGAATTTGCCATTTTTTTCCTTGGAAAAATAAGACAGTCTAAGTTAATTCAATGAATGACTCAAAAAAGGTTTTGCAGAAGGAGAGAAGAAATTCAGGCACCAATAGTCACAGAGAATGACAAAAATCCCTTTACATATCAAACTTTATATTTATGGGCCAAATGACGGCCTTGGCCCAAGTAGCAGAAGGCAACTGTTACTTAGAGACAATAAAACAGGCCATCCAATGAGACCTGAGGATGATGTAATTAAACGATATCAAAAAAGCCTTTGCAAAATGATTTAACTTAACAGACTGATTGAAGGGGGAAAGGGGAAGGGGGGAAAGAAGAGAGGGTGATCTCAGGAAACTCTCCAAGGGAGTTGAACTACTCCTAAAAGGACACACACATTTTAGCCCCGCACAGATGCAAAAGGCTGGGTGGGAGGGAACATTTTAACCTGTGTGAACACGAACAGGAATAATGGAGAGGGGAAAGGATGCAGGAATCCTAGCCACTTTTCGTGATCCCAAAGGTTAGCAGAACCAGAGGGTTATCCCTTACCTTGTTTGAGGCCATTTCACTGACGGAATGCCTGGTCTGCAGGGTCTCTAGCTGGTCCAGGCACCAGTCCAGCTCCTCCAGGGTCTCGCTGGCCAGTTTCTGGTAAGCCTCCTCTGTGAAGAGATAGGGAAAGGGGTACTCAGTTCTGAAGCGCTTCACGGGGCTACCAGCCATCTCCAAAGGGGCCATCCTGCCATACCCAGCCATGCTCGGATGCCCAGTGCCCACACATGAGTGCTGCTCCTTCATATTGTTAAGCCAGGCACCGGGGGAAGAGAAGACGCTCTGCTGGGGAGGCAAACAGCCTCTCGGAGGGAACACCAAAGTCTCTCCAGCTTGGCACCCTCCAAGTTTAGGTCCAGAGAGGGCTTGAAACTCCAGCAAATAGTTTTTATTTTGTTGGTTTAGTTCGGTTGGGTCTGGTCAGGGTTTCTCTCTGAATGCCTTTTAGATGGTGTTGGGGACACCAAGTCTCAGTCATTTAAACCCAATTTGAGAGTACGGGGCCGGATGGGAGGTGCTCGGGTGCCGTTTTGCTGCTAGGGCTGTTTGTCCTCTGTCTTTCAGAAACTTGCGTCTTTGTACCCATAACTAATCTCTGCTCCCTCTCCTCCTCCTCCTCTTGAAAGAGGTCTGGGCGATGCAGACAATTTTCCCTAGACTGGAGACCGACTATACCTCCCCTTTTCCTCTCCAACTATCCCCCCTCCCCCCTCCCTTCTCCTCCTCCTCCTCTCTAAACCCCCCCCCCCGCCCGCCTTAGCGACTTCAGGGAGGCACTTTCAAGCAGAAATGAATCAGCTGCTGCCGTGTGTAAGCGGCCACCACGTTTCCTGTTTTCTTTCTCAACTCCTCCTTGCAGCAGCGGCTGCGGCTGCCTGAGCTGCTGCCGCTTTCCCTGAAAGCTGCCCCGTCCCCTCTCCTGCTGACCCTACCAGCCCTGCCCCATGCCTTCGTACTACATCACCCCTCTACCCAAAGGAAAGGAATGATGGGGGAAGTCAGAATTGCAAGATATTCCTCTTCTGTCCTCCGGGTTCCTTTCTGTTTGGGTCTCAGTCTCAAATAGAAAGTGTCTCTATGGGGCATATCCTAACAGTGGCTGCAAGCAGAGCATCCTAGCTGAGTCTGTAACCTCCCTAGGCATCCTTTGAACCAAGACAGAAAGGGACTCTGTGTGTGTGTGTGTGTGTGTGTGTGTGTGTGTGTGTGTGTGTGTGTTGGGGCGAGGAGGAAAACCCGGCGTGGAACCAACAGTAGCCTTTGCCAGTTGCCACCTCAAAGCTGAATCGGACAGGCGCGAGCAGAAACACGCGCACAGGCACATAGACACGCGCACTAGCATGACTCCTGCCTGGAAAGGGCACGAGACAAAAAAGCACCTGCTCCAGGAAGGCACCCGGCGTGCTCCGATGATAATTCTCTGTCTGTCTGCTTATGTCGTCTCACTCCCTCTCTCTGTCCCCCCCCATCTCTCTCTCCTTACCTTGTTCATCATCCTCTCCCTCTCTCCTCCTTCTCCCCTGCCTCCTCTTTCTTTCTCCCTTCTCCCTTCTCTACTCCATTTCACCCCAGCTAGAAAAAGTCCATAATTTCTCCTTTTCTAGTACTGCTACTTCAGAGTGCTCAGAAGCTTCACAAACAATATTTGAGATCTGTGCCACCTTGGATCTTCGGTTCTAGGCGCCCCAGTTTGCTTGTTTTTTGGAGCGACTGTTCCCAGTACCTCTCCATGCTGCAAGGATGTTCTGGGATAAATGGTTTCTTTCCTAGATAAACCTTCCCAGGGAACCCTAAGATCCTTAAACAGCAAAGAGAATCTACTCCATTTCGGAGTCTCAATGCCTTGAATGTCCTCCAAGCATTTGTACTTTATATATGCATATATCATAAACATATATTCATACATGTGAGCACTGCATATCAATACATAGGCTTCTGATGAGACACAGAAAATTTTGAACTTTTCCACCTAGTCTCTCCCCACCCCTTTTCCACCTGATCCTATACCAAACAGATTTTAAAAGAAAAATAGAAATGCTGAAGTATTTACTATCACTGCCATTCATAGAATAACCATAAACATAACAGAATGAGGAAAAAGAAAGAAAATGTATCAAAGCCATATTGCAGCTTATTTTCTTACCATTTTTAGAGGCTGATCCTAAGGAAAAGAAAGGGGGTGTATGTATCCTTTCCTCCCAGAAACTGATCAACTGCAGGAAAACCTGACTACATTAGCAGTGGGTGAGCAAACCCATTCAAGGAAAATAAACCCAAATTCCCAAGGTGAAGATTCTGTTTCATTGAACTTTTTATTCTCACTTAGAAAGCATCAGTTGAAAAGGCCTCATATGACTTTTGTGGCATACCTTTTCTTCCTCCCTCAAATTAGGCTACTAGAGTAGAAGCAATTATAGAACTTAATTTTTTAGACTCTGGAAATAAACAGTCAGTGGCACATTAAGGAAAAGATCTTATGCAAATGAATCTCAGAATCCTGGGACCTTGATACTGCCTTATATGTTAAGAAATATTTTAAAAGTAATTCTAACACTAAGACACAGCACTGACTGCTTTTCCCTGGGGGTACCCTAGAGGAGAGGAGAAGCAGTCAGTCGTTGCAGAAGCAGCATTGATCTTGAAAGGTTAGGAGATGGTGATTCTAATGCTGGTCTAATACTGACTCTGCCACTTACCAAGTACATGACAAAGTTTGAATTATCTCACCTTTGTCAGCCTCAGTTTACTGATGAGGCGATTGACATACAACTTTATAAAGAGGTAATATGATTCTGGGGGTGTATATTGAAATGTCATTTATCAGAAAAAAGAAATCTGCTAAAATTACTTAAATTAATATCAGACGGAAGGTAGGGGATTTTAAAAGAAAAAATCCACCTGTTTACAGTTTACTTAGGGGTACTTAGTAAACTGGTGATTAATTGGATTCAATTCAGCAAACAGTTATGCTTTAAAATCCAAACATCTAAGGCTGTCCTTGCATTCAGGAAGGCCTGGTTCAAATCCTCACCCTAACGTATGTAGCTGGGTGACCTGTAAGCAAATCACTTAAACTATCAGCGTCCATGGGAGATTTTCTAAGTGTAAATTATATGGGAGCTACTTTGTTGGAGAGATCTTCCACATAAGGACTTCTCCACAAGAACAAAATTACAGATCGCAACCCTCTTACTCTGATAGCAAAAAAATACAAAGCACCATGCTTAATGGATTGGGGGAGGGGAGGAGGGGAGGGATAGGAGCCTCCTATTGTCCAGGCTGGAAGTATAGGGGACATTTAAGGACTATTACCTCCACTGATCAGTGGAAGCTTTGAGCTGCTCCTGTTTCCCTCTTGGACTAGTTTACCCCTTACCATATTGATTCCAGACACAGTATAGACACCCTATTCAGTTTATCCAACTAGAGCTCAGAATTGCCCTGCTCAAGCAATCCACCAGTCACAGCCTTTCTCCAGTAGCAGGGATGATAGGTGTGTGCCACCACTCTTGGCTTGCTAAATAGGTTATTAAACTCAACCTTCAGTGTCTAGAATGCATTCACTTAGCGTATGTCTAATGTCTAAACCAGGAGCTCTTAACTTTTTGTAGTCATGGACCCCTTTGCAATCTGATAGAGCCTATGGACTCTATCTCAGAATAATGTTTTTAAATATATAAAATGAAATATATAGGATTACGAAAGAAAACAAAAAAAATACAGTCTGTAGCCAGGAAGGCAGTGACCACCTGCAATCTAGCAGTGGGGCTAATAATTACAATAATTTTGAAGTGACTGTAAATGATATTTCAAAATATCTATAATGTGATATGAAAACATGCCATTTCTACTTTTGACAGTCACAGGTACTGCTAATACCATGATGGTTTCTTGCCAACATTCATAATTGAAGGAAATTCAAAATTTTAGTTAGAGGTTAATGAAAATAAAGAAATAACTTTTTTCCCCATCTAAGACCACAGAGCCTGTGAAATCTATCCACAGAAACCTGAAGGGATCTGTGGACCCCAGGTTAATAAATCCTGTTCTGCAACATGACTAATGTGGAAATATGTTTAATATGATGGTACATGTATGGCCTATATCAGATTGCTTGCCTTCTTGGGGAGGGAGGAGGGGAGGGAAGGAGAAAATAAACTCAGAACTCAAAATCTTATAAAAGTGAATGTTGAAAACTATATTTACATGCACTTGGAAAAAATAAAATACTATTAAGCGAGGGGAAAAAAATAAGTCCTACACTACTTCAATAGCACTCAAAGGTGGATCTCCAGACCAATCTCTCCCACTCTACAACTGGCCAGGATTTAGGTATGGGGAAGTGATAATCGACGTCATCCAGAGAGTTCATACTTCTGGACCACATCAACTCACGTGGAACTGCCAGCAACCAATCACACACTGCATTTCAAGGCTTCCAGAAAATGAAAAGTAGCAGCCTTACTCACAAAAGAAAAAAAAATGAGAACTTAATGGAATGATGCCCAACATACAATACTAACATATTAATTTTTACATGGGAAAAACTAATACAGAAGGATTTTCAAGTTAATGCTCTAGTATACTAATAATATATAATTGTCCTTAGGAGGGCCAGGGAAGCTAGGTGGTGAAGTAGATAGAGTGCCCAACCTGTAGTCATGAAGATTCATCTTCCTGAGTTCAAATCCAGCCTCAGAGACTTACTAGCTGTGTGATCCTGGGAAAATCACTTAACCCTGTTTGCCTCAGTTTCCTCATCTGTAAAATGAGCTGGAGAAGGAAATGACAAACCACTCCAGTATCTTTGTCAAGAAAGCCCCAGATGTGGTCATGAAGAGTCCATCATAACTGAAACTACTGAACAATAACAAAAACATAAATTTCTGGACAAAACAGGTATTTTTATTTTATGTTATCTCAATTTTACTCTCATATTGAGAAACCATCATGGTAATAACAATTAGCATTTTAATGTAATTGTATATATGTATATAGTACTTGCTGAGACATATATACATACCTTTATGTATATACGCATATACATATGCATATGTATGTGTTATAATACACATATACATGTGTATGTTCACATATATACATATTTGCA